ACACAGTTTTTTTTTTTTAACAACCAGAACCAGCTGATTAACATCTCAGAAGCCCAAATACCTCAAATGCAACCCAAAATGAGTTGAAAAGGAGGCATCGTGGATGAATTTCCGTCAACCTAGCGGCGGAACTCCTGACCGCTGAGATCCTGGGGTTGGTGGGAAACTTGTCTCGTGCCAACGGGAGTGCCAGGATCATCCTCCGGCACCTTCAGCTGTCTGTCCGTGGTGACAAGGAGCTTGGCGGAGTACTGGGAGGAGTGAGCATCGCTGATGAGGAGCTTGGCAGAGTACTGGGAGGAGTGAGCATCGCTCAGGGAGGAATTCTGCCCGGCATTCGGGCAGTCCTGCTGCCCAGGAGGACTGAGAGGACCGAGAGGACCGCTGGGTCTGGGTGGACGGCTCGGTATCTGTGACCAGATTCTTCAGATTTGCTGCAGGAGATCCTTCCTGCCCTCAGCTATCAGCATCCAACAACTCTTGAATGAAACAGGATGATGAGCTGCGACACTTAACCTCCCTCTGGGATTAACTCTTCGTCTCCACACGTGCACACACTCCCACCAGTTAGGGTTATTATCATCCCCATCGTGCTGCTCCAGATGTTGTTCATTCAGCTGTTGTCACCTCTCTGCTCAGCAGCTAGACCCCCCCCCCCACACACACACACACACACTTTCTCATCCTGCCTTCAGGGATCGGACAGGAAATAAAGTCCAACTGGGCCAGGACTTGATGAGAGCGACTCTCCAGAGTTTGTTGTTGGTGTTCGAGTCAGTCGGTCGTGTGTGGTCCCGGCTCCTAAAAGTTATGGGGCATAAAAACGAGCCGTGAAGTTGTGAAACTTATTGAGTGGGATAGTTATGAACAAGATTACACTTGGAGATGTTTCTTTAATTTTTGAGGTAATGTGTTAAAGTGGTTTAAAAAAATCTGGCCATGTTATTAGTTATACAGGCCAAGAAGATGAGGAACATGATGCTACAATAGATTTAAATCCTGATGGATGTAACAGTCTTGGTTAAACCTTACAAATATTGACATGTGCGCTCTTTCATGTGACATACCAAGATGTTACGCTCAGAGTATGTGCTGTGAATAACTCTCAGCTACTACCTTTATCAAATTTTACCTCAATCTACATAAAACAACTGAGTTATAATCATTTTGATCTTGGACCATGTCAACTAGCTGTGGCAACTTTTTACAAGTCAGATTTACACCCAATTACTATTTTATGGCAATCTTATTAAAATCCAGCCTGTGGTTAATGAGATATTTTGCTAACAGACAAATGTACTCCAACATACATCAACGTGCTAAAGTTTGAATCAAATGTTTTCATGTAATGTGTAACACTTTGAAGTATTGTGAACAACTTTCTAAAACTACACCCAGTTTTACTTCAATATCTGAAAAATTGACCAAACTGTGGGCGTTCTTTTGTTTTGTTTGTATTTTAAAGGTCACTTGTCTTTGGTAAGCATCTTAAATTGTGTTGACTTCAAACGTTAGCCACAGAAGCACATCCAATAATCACTTTTTAAAAAGTTAAGTTAGAATTCTTTCATTAGATGTTATTTTAGTAACAAACAGTCGTTCTTAATTACGTCCCTTTTGAACCAGAAGGGTTTGGTTTTAAAGATGGCTGCCCCAGCTGGGCGTCTAAAGGTGCACGGTTAAAGACGGAGCACAACAACAAGTCTAGAAATAACTGTAGTTTAGTTCCGATCCTGTTCCCAGTGATCACAGGAGAAAGAGGAATGTTCTGGAGTTCCTGTTGAGTTTTCATGAAACCATGACAGATTGGTATTTGCTCTTGAATCACTCGCCCATGGTTAGGAAAATGTACGACTGTAACTAATTCAGCCCTCGGAGAGTGAAGTCTTCCTGGGTCTGAACCAGGATTTGATTAGAAACAGGTTCCACGTCTGGCTTCTCTTCTTCATTTCAACCTTCTCTTTGCTTCAGTTTGTTTTAAGCCCCTTCAAACCCCTGATACAGATCTTGTTCTGTTCATAGTACAAGTACACGCAAATGACTGAAGATTACCACCTAACACACATTTGTGTGTCAAAAAGTATTGTTTTGGATAAAAACGTACCAATATTATGTAATTTTTATTTATTTATGTGTGCTTATCTTTCGTGTGTACTGTTACCACAATCTCACGAATGAGAAAACTCTCAGAGCGTGATCGCTGATTAACGTCTGCAGTTGACCCAATTAAAGATGGCTGCCGAAGCTAAGCGACCTTACCAAACACACAAACGGCGACAACTCAGTCATGGTTATAAATGTTGAGCTAAGATTTGGTGGGGTAGTAGCTGAGAGTCATTTCCAACACATACTCTGAGCAGTAATGTCTTGATTAGATATAAATACACAACTCAGTCAGTTGTACATGAACACACAGTGATTACAGTACTTTCTGAGGTGTTTAAAATCTCTAACAAATAGGGTTGATTACTTTGGTAAATGACATCGTTTTAAACACGGATCTTGAGTGAAGAGTTAAAGCTCAAAGTAGAAGTTGAGGATGACTCTCAGCTACTACCACACCAAATTTCAGCTCAATATCTATACATCTGATAGAGTAACAGATATATTTGTGTTTGCCAAGTTCACTCAGCCATGGCGGCCATCTTGAGCCAGGTTCATCAGTTGTAGACGAACGTTTTAATCAAATCTGTTCAACGATTCATGAAATATTTTACAGATGTAAACAAACGCACAAAACCATTATCACTGCGCCTTTGGGCGATAAAGACTCTGCATCGCGCTTTTACGTTTCGTTCATGCTGGAGAAAGACAAAAGTAACCTAATAACACAGAGTTTTCCATTCTGCTTTCCAAAGCCCTGAAACGATCCCTCTTCCCTGCAGCACCCCACCCACAGCCGCCGCCCCTCCTTCGTCTCTCTGCTCCAGTGCAAAGCCAAACAAGCCGACCATTAAGTTGAGTTAAGCGCAGGAAGTGGGCCTTCGGGCCAGGCAGCACGGTTTACAAGGAGCCAGTCGGGTTTCTGCGGCGCTTTGAAGTGAGCGGCGCACAGGAGACTGTCTGTCAGTCGGCGAAGGCCCAGCACCTCGACGCAGACTCACTTACATTCCCCACAATCATCTGAGAGCAGTCAGGGAGGGGGGCAGAGGTGTTGTGACAGGGCTGCAGGTTGATTTATGCTTTTTCCTTCTTCTCAGCTTCTACCTTTAATTCTGCTGCAAGCCGTCATTATTCAGCAACATGCAAGGATGTAGGAAATCCCAAGAGAAAACAGATCTTAAGAGGAGTTTCTGCTCCACCGTTAGCAAAATATCACATTAACCATTAAACAGATTTTAATGAAACTTTCAGAAAGTAATATTGAATCAAATTCAAGTCGGCTGCTACAGCTAATGCACCTTTGCTACCACAAAAAAATGTCCATATCTTACTCAAAATTACAAATGCTGTATTTTTCTGAGTACATTGTGCACTTAAAATCCTTTAATTTTCTCAAAATTCGACGGCGAGCGTTATGTATTAATTCTGAACTGATTTTATTTGGTACACGGTGCTAAACAACAACAACAACAACACAGGAAGTGTTCCTGTGGTGGCTTTGTTTCGCTTAATGCGCCTTATAGTCCAAAAAATACGGTCACCTGGTAAAGTTTATGTGGTAGTAGCTATGAGTCATCCTCCAAGCATTACCACATCTTGTAAGATGTGGCGGCCATCTTGAATTAAAACTCTGTCATGAAAAGCAGCAGGAAAATACGTCCCTTCAAGGAAAGACAGGCCTTTAAATTTGTGAAGGTTACGGTAAAACCAAAAGTGGTGCAGTCTAATACCTGCAGCGCCGTGATCGCATCTAAACGTTTCATCTACAAAACGCCCGTACGGTTTGGTATGTGCACGCCTGCTTCTCGCCCTGAGCTCGAGGCACGGAGATCAGCTTTCCACAACACATCCGCCTCCTCCGTGACCTCACGGCAGAAAAGGCTCAGTTGCAGCCGTGCACGACTCGGACAATTCCAAACTGGCACGAAGCAGAAAAGCGCCCGGCGAAACGGAATATCCCTTCTTCTACGCAGCAGGCAGGCTGGGACATTTTCACAACGCTTCAGCACGCAACGTGCACGCCCGAGGAAGCGGTCAACTGGAAAACGAGCGCTTTCAGCTGAAAATGTAGAAACTGTGCATGTTTTTTTAAAGAAACACAAAGATGTCATGTTGTTTGTAAAACATGATACTAAAAAGAAAATGTAATCCATTTTATATTGTTGTCGTTCAAACAAAAAGCCACTTTACATGAGGGCTCCCCTTTTAGATGGCTATTCCTCTATAAACACTTTATAAATCATTAATAACTGCTTATTATGTGTTAATTAAGGGTGACAAAGACAAAACTGACCAGTTTCTTGCCAAATATTGAGTCGTCTCTGTTCACCCGTATATTCCATCTAGAGTTGTTATATGAAACATTTCATTCCAAGTTACTAGCACAATAAACATTTGTAAACCTATTTTTTAGGATATAACTGCATTTTAAGTAACTACAACTAATATTATATCCTAAAAATATTAGGTTTACAAATGTTTATTGTGCTCACAAGGTAGTAAGTTAGTCTGAAACGTTTCGTAGAACAACTCTAGATGAAATACGTTGGTGCCGCATTTGGTTCATTATTTGGCAACAAACTGGTCAGTTTTGTCTCCGTCACCCTTAACTAATGCATAATAAACAGTTATTAATGATTTATGAAGTGCTTATAGAAGAATGAACAACGTATCTATAAACTATTTATTAGCCATCTATAAGGAAGTCTTATTGTAAAGTACTAAAAACATTAGAATAAATCAAATGGCACCCGTCTTGTGCCTTCTTATAGCGCATAAATAAACAAAGCTGATAGAATGAAAGTACAAAATTGTTTACTTTGAATACAAATATATAGTTCATTTTTACACAATTCTATTTACAGGATTTTTTTTTAAACTTCACACAAAATGTTTACAACAAAAAAAGAACGTGAACGTGTCTCTGGCCTTTACTTGTTTGGAGTTCGTTTAAAAAAAAGAATCAAAATCATTATTTGCTCTTTAAAAGGTATTCTTAAAACATTTTTTCGTCATATTGATGGTTAATGAGCTCTTACATTAAAAATTATTTTAGTTTTAGTAAACTTTACAAACGTCTGCCACCTACCACGTGCAAATGTTTACTTATGGAAGCAGGAAATAGACTTGGGACCAACTTCAACGTGTTGGTAAAGTTTTTTATGCTTTAAAAGTAGGTTGAAATAGTGAAATGACTAGTTTAGCAGAAGATTTGTAAAAGCTTCATCTTCACCGTTTGCCACCCAATATTTATTCTTAACAGTTGTTCGTTTTTTAATTCTGATTTTGCGTAGCTGATTCTCTTTCTGTTTGCATCGATTTTAAAACTGTCGGACTCCACCGGTTGAGTTATTACACAGGCTGAATGTTGGTCAGTTATGTGACTCAAACTTCCGTGGGGTTTTCAGCCAAGTGCTTTGTTTACACCGAGTGCGTACCCGCGTTTCAAAATCGCATTTCAATATATCGGGAAAACAGCAGCTTAGGTTGAAAACTCCTTTAAGCTGCATCATTTCAGATGGTTCACGATAACCTACTTTATGTTTTATAATATGCAGTGGACACTGGCACCGGCGACCCAAAGTCAAGAAGCGGGTAAAGACAACGGATGGATGGCAGTGGATACCTTTAGGTTAAATTCAGTCGGGCTTGTCTCGTCTCATTCTGTCGCGTGTGTGTTTCTATGAAGCTGAGACAAATAAAACATTACAAATGAAAAACATTATTACCCACATTTAAATGTCCTTTAATTCTACACCGTGGTCTCTTCGTGTCCGCTGTTCGTCAGCTTTGCGTAGAACTTGTGCCAAGACTGCAGAGTCTTTCCAGACCAGATCCAGAAACCAGATGTGATTCCTACAATCAGTGTCATTAGATACTTTATCATGAACACGGTGAAGTCCGGGGTCATGTGGAGCACAGTCTGTGTGGGGCAGGGGATCCCCAGGCCCCTGCAGTTATGGCTGACCCAGCTTCGCTCCCAGTGGGGCCGGAAGGCCTGCTCGTAGAAGAAACAGGCGATAACAATGGTGGCAGGGACGGTGTAGAGCACACTGAAAATCCCTATTCGGACCATCAGCCGCTCTAGTTTCTCCGTCTTGGTGCCGTCGTGTTTCATAATGGTGCGGATTCTGAACAGTGACACAAAACCGGCCAGTAGGAACGAGGTGCCAGTGAAAAGGTAGATGAAGAGAGGGGCCAGTACAAAGCCCCGCAGGGGGTCCAGGTTACTGACATAGCAGACGCCGCTGAGCACATCCCCTTCGATCTGTCCCATGGCCAGGATGCTGATGGTCTTCACAGCTGGGACTGCCCACGCAGCCAGGTGGAAGTACTGAGAGTTGGCTTCGATGGCCTCGTGACCCCACTTCATACCTGCTGCCAGGAACCAGGTGAGAGACAGGATGACCCACCAAATGGAGCTGGCCATGCTGAAGAAGTACAACATCATGAAGAGGATGGTGCAGCCTTCTTTTTTGGTGCCTTGGATGATGGTTTTGTATCTGTCGGGGCTGAAGCCGTCGTTGCACACCACCCTGTCCCCAAGAAAATAGCCGGTTATGTAGGCGATGGAGACCATGGTGTAGCAGCCGGACAGGAAGATGATGGGCCGCTCAGGGTATCTGAAGCGCTGCATGTCGATCAAATAAGTGGTCACCGTGAACAGCGTGGACGCGCAACAAAGGACAGACCACACCAGGATCCATATGCGGGAGAACCGAACCTCTCTGTCGGAGAAGAAGAGGCTCCCACCGCTCCTTGCTGCCTCACAGGGAGCCGCGCAGTCCTTCTCCTCCAGAAACTTGTAATTCAGATACGGAGGAACCGTCAGAACAGGCGGGCAGCGGAACGGCCTGTCAAACGTGGACACCACGGGGTGGTCCTGGGGCCCCGAGGGCGCCTTGATGGGGGGCACAGTGGCCGCAGACGACTGGTTCTGCCCCACGCAGATGTGCCCGTCCCCGTGCACAGGGAAGTTCTCGCAGCGCAGACGCTCTGGCCACTGGAAGCCGAACTTGTTCATGAGCGCCTCGCAGCCCTGCTTGGCGCTCTCGCAGATGGACCTGCAGGGCGGGATGGCTTTCTCCAGGACTGTGCACACCGGCGCGTACATGGAGCACAGGAAGAACTTGAGCTCGGGCGAGCACTGGACCTTCACGAGGGGGTAGAACTGGTGAACCTCGAGCCCCGCGTCCTCCTGGTTGTAATGGCCCACCAGGTTGGGCATGATGGTTTGGTTGTAGGCGATGTCCGTGCACAGCGGGATGGAGATGGGCTGGCAGAAGCCGTGCTCCGGGATTATTAATCCAGTGTCTCCTTCGTACTGGGCTGACACGACGAGAGGCAGGAGAAACACCAACACCCAAGTCATCTTCTTCCTCATCAACTCGCAGCAAATGCGTTAAAATTAAAATGCGTTGAAAACAAATTCCTCTGCGGCAGAAAACTCTGCGCCTTTCCACTCCAACTCCTGCTGGCTGACTTTTTCCTCCTTTTCTCTGGCCGTGACTTTTATCCTCTCACAGCTGTCAAGTCAGAAACAGGCTCCAAGAGACTCGTTTCAAAATAAACCCACGACTGTCCAATAAGCAGGTAACAAAACGCATCACAGACATATTTACACAAACTGTTTCACATCACTAACTGAAAGGATTTCGTGACTTGTTATTTTGCTCAATAGTCCCTGTAACAGGATCTGACTTAAAACGCATGCTTTTATTTTGAAAGCTCCAGTTCCTGTGTCTTCGTTGCATTATGGTGCTGCGGTTGAACTTGAACCCACAGCTGGATTCGTCCAATCAGACTTTCCGTTCACCTGGAAACACTATTTTTATTAAAAGATAAAAAATCCATCTATCTATCCATCTATCCATCCATCCATCTATCTATCCATCTATCCATCTATCCATCTATCCATCTATCCATC